TTGGAGAGCTCCCCAAGTTGAGAGGGTACAATGCCATCCTGGTTGTGGTAGATTGCCTTTCCAAGTGCATCCATGCAATCCCCATGGTCACAACAGTAGACTCGGCAGGAATTGCCTGACTTTTCCTCGAGCATGTCTGGAAACACCACAGCCTCCCTGAGGAAATTCTCAGTGACAGAGGGAGTGCCTTCATCTCTCAGTTTTCTAGGGAGCTGGCAGCTCTGCTAGCGGTTAAGCTGACCCTGTTGGTGCCTTACCACCCACAGATGGATGGATAGACAGAGTGGGTGAACCAGGAGATAGAAGCTTACCTCCGAGTGTTTGACAACCACCACCAAGGTGACTGGGCAGATTGGCTCCCACTAGCAGAGTTCTCCCATAACAACCGCATCCATGCATTGTCAGGGACTCATCCGGGGTTGAGGTAGCCCGGGTGTAGCGTCCGGGGCTGAGAGCCTGGCAGGGGGCGGATCAGGCGTGCGTACTGACAGGCCCGATGCGGGACAGCGGTCCCTGGCCACTTAGACTGAAGTGGACAGTTGAGAAGAAGGCTACTTCTTTGGTTCCCACTTCAGGTTCGTTTATATACATGTGGGTTAGATCACATGACAGGTGCCACGTCACCCTCGCACACAGCTGTAACCACCCAGGTGTCTCTGTGGGAGATCCCGAGGGCATCCGGTGCAGGCGCGCATACTGGGCACAGTGGGAAGTTGCCCGAGGTGCCTGGGTCAGGTGTATGGTGGGTGCGCTGCAGATGGGTCAATGGTACATTGATACAAAGAAGGTTGTCTGTGTAGAATAAAGAGAAAATAAAGAAGAAGTAAGATAGGAAAGTGAGGAAGCATGGATGAGGAGAGAGGAAGGAAAAAGGGGGAGGAGGTGAGGAGGGGTGGACAGTGGGGTACCGGGTCAGGCGGGTGTGCCCTGACATGCATCTACCTGCCACACCCCCTTTGAGCTTGACACCAGTCAGCACCCCAGGATGGGGACAGAACCCATGCACATGTCAGAAGTCGAAGCCACAGACACATTCACCTCAAGGATGATGAAAATGCAAGAGGAGGCAAAGGCAGTGCTGGAGTATGCAGCGGAGGAGATGGCCCGCTACTATGACTGGAATTGAGAAGTAGCATCTGAGTACAAGGAAGGCGATCAGGTCTGGCTCAGTACCCAGGACTACACCACGGACTGCCCAACCAAGAAGCTAGACCACAAATGGACAGGCCCTTTTAAAATCCTCAAGGCTGTATCCCCCGCTGCAGTCAAGCTCCGACTCACAGCACAGCAAAAGGGAGTCCACCCAGTGGTGTCAGTAACAAATGTCCGGCCCTACCACCCAGATGCGATCACTGAACGACCTGCTGACCCCCACCCAGGCCCCAAAATCATAGATGGGGGAGAAGAGTATGAAGTTGAGAAGGTCCTCGACTCCCATTGGCACTGCAGAATGGTACCTGGTGAAGTTCACAAGCTGGCCAAACTCCAAGAATGAATGGCTCCCCCTTGACAACCTAGCCAATGGGCGCAACCGAATTGAAGAGTTCTATGAAGCACACCCCAACACCCCCAGGAGAGAACAAGAGAATTCTTCATCCTTGCTTCCTTTCTTCCCTTCTTCCCTTCTTTCTCTTCTTCTTCTCTATCCTTATAAGGACGACCTTCCCTTCAACCCGGCATATCCACCACTTCCATCAACGTGTCCTAGTGCCACTCGGTCCATCCCACCCACTACCATCATCATCTATCCATCCACCTGTCCACCTGTCACCCTCATCCACACTTTCTCCCCCACATGCATACCTTCCAACTGAGGTTGCCTGTTCAAGTGGTTCATTGTTGTCCACCTGCCAGCCAGATGGCTTGCTAGATGGCTGGCTGGATGGCCTTTTCTCTTTTGTTTGCTTGCGGACTATTGTTCCTCCTTTGCCACTCATTATTTCTTGCTTGCCTTTTGTTGACCAAGTTTGCTGATATTAACCATTTGTCTATTTCTTCATTCATTAATATCGCACTTGATCTGCCACTCCTTCTGGGCCGGTCCTATTTAGTTAGTTGTGCTTATAATGCATGTAGGTTACACCGGATGTACCTCAGTTTGTATATCGACTTGGATTTCCCCCCTTGTCTCTTCTCTACATCATAAGGCTCCTGTCTGAAATTGGGACAACAATGTAAGAACCAAGCACAGTGCTCACCCCTCTGACCTTATGAGCCCGGATGACTTCACGTGCCTTGCAGATCATCTGGATACGCATCCAACAGGTTCCTGACAGTATATACAAACTCAAATCGCTCTTATGTTCTTTCCTTGCTTTGTCATTGTTTCACTGAAATATGTCTAGAGCTTATCAGACCTGTTCACAGACATGCACTGAACTTGGCCCTTCTAGGCTTCCAGGTCTCAGTATGCTTGAAGAACTTTTGCACAGACATGATCTGAATGTCCGCCATTCCAAAGCTTTATGGCCGACCATGACGACCCTACCTCCTCCACTCCAGCACCCCCCATCGATTTTGTTGTTCCATATTCCAAGACCATGATGAGGTGGCTGCTGTCAAGAGAGATGTCGATCTGGATAGCCAAGCTGATGACCATGATTCCGAAGCTTCTTGTAACCCTACTCCACATCCTGGTCCCACCAATCCTCTGGACCCACCAGATGCCCCACCCAACCATGGTAACAGTGGTGGTGACGGTGATGGTGGTGGTGGTGCTGACAGTGGTGATGATCTGCCTGAGGACCAGCTGCCAGATGACCCCAGTAGCCATGTGTTGGCCCAGTTGATGGACGCTATTGCTGCCCTGGCCCGTTCAACCACTGCCACTCGTCAACCCCCATTGTAGGACAAAGCTTCGTGAGCCTGACCAATTTGATGGTACTGACCCTCAGAAACTCCGTACATTCCTTGTTCAGTGCGAACTTAACTTCCAGAACCGCTGTTACAGAAATGGGGCCGGAGGCACCCATTTTCGTCCATTTTCGGCACAGGGAAAGGGAAAAGGGAAGGGAGGTGGTTCATTAGGGTTTACAGATGGTTTCACAGATGGTTTGGCGTGTTGTTTAACAGATGTTAGCACAGCGGGTTTTTTGGTTGTAATTGATTAGATAAACTCTATTTATTTACATGTCATGTGATTGGGGTGTGTGCAGGGCCCATAAGAGTCTAAATTAGGAAATTTTCCATTTCCATAACAACCGCCCCCAAGCATTCATTAACGAGTGTATGAAAGTCATCTACACTATGTCATTCCTCAAGGGGATTGCTCTGAGTTGGTTCAAGCCTGAACTCCTCCATGGTAACCTGCATTGCCATCCACGTTGGATGGACAACTATGAACTCTGCATCTGAGAACTTGAAGAGAACTTTGGCCCACACAACCCATTTGGTGATGCTGAACGTTGTCCGAGTACTCTGACTATGTCGGATAATCACAGAATCACCAAGTACATCGTCGAGGTTAATCGCAATGCTTCACAGTTACCCGGATACAGTGAGGTTGCCTTGAGGCACCATTTCTATAATGGGTTGCCAGATAGGATCAAGGACGAGATCACTCATTACGGTAAGCTGTCATATCCCGGAATCCCGACCCCGTGCACTCCCACCACACCACACCTTCCTAACAACTTCACCATCCCCTACACCATGCCTCCCCACTCCCCAAGTCACCTTTCTTCCTAACTGTCTCAGCTCCGGCCTGGTTGCAGCACACTGAACCTTGGCCACTCCCATCCCGGAAGCTCGGTCCCGAGTCGGAACATTCAGAGACTCTGGATTTGCTCCGATATCCCGATGGACCTCTGACATCCCGTGACATACCCCTAAACCATTTCTCCACCCATTTCATTTATTGGAGTCACCCAACATCCTTCGGATATGCAACTCCGCTTTCGGAGCTACCCGCATCCTTCAGTGACCCCACTCATGTCATCACTTATTAGTCACCTTCCATTCATAGCACGACTATCTTCTTCTTACCATTCAGTCGGCTAACCCCCTCTTACCCATCTCTCGTTCCCATTCATTTTCCGGCCTCTTACTCCACCCTCCTTGACCCGACACCTCGGTTCCCTGTTAAGAATATTGTTCGGAACCTTTCGGTACCTCTCGGTATCATTCGGCACCTTTCAGTGTTTTTCTATTATCATTCGGACTTTGACTAAAGTCCTTTCCATCCCTCCTTATAAATACCTGTAGATTAGAACTTGTAGTTTTTCCTTAGTTCTAATCTCGACTAAAATGCTACCCCAAGTCCCTCTGTGTAAGGGATTAACCTTACTTCACTATAATTCCGATTATAGTGATATTTATATTATGTTGCATCACTATAATTCCCATTATAGTGATGTGTTTATTTCTTTATTTATTTGTGCCGAGATATGTAAATTACATATATATACCTCGGAGTAGTTGTAAAGGCCCGGTAGCCTTTTACCTCTACCCCGTTGAATATACAGCACATTAAAGCTTATATTTAGACGGACTACCTGAGGCCTGAGGCGAACGGGGGAATGGAACGTACCATCCCCAAAATAGTAAGCAAACCTTTCACTCTGAGTGAATCCCGGCCCCTTTCTACAAGATACCTCAGACATAAGAAATACAAGGACTAACTGAGACGTAACAGAGGCACAGCGCTCCCTCCGAGTTGCTGAGGCCGCATCCTTCTTAGAGCCTCTTGTACCATTCAGCAGAACTGGGCTTCCTGGAGAAGCTTCGGTCCACTACCAGAGCTCTCGGATCCCCTCTAGTTGAGCCCCGCCTGCATTCGGACTCATGCATTTTTCCCCTATGATCCAGGTTTTTGACATAAGCCATGCTCGCTGCATGACATGCACTCTCTTGCCCAAGACATCAACAGACAATACTGGGAATGCAAGGGCAAGTTGTCACACTGTCCGAGAGATTGAGCTACCTCACCCAACTCCTCCAAGCAGAACGCAAAATTGGGCAAGAACTCGAAATACTCTAAGTCCTCCAATCCTCCTGACTCCATGTCCGACCCTTCCACCTCCGCTGATCGCTCTACCAAGGACCCTAAAAAGTCCAAGGGAAAGCAACCCGACTCTGATTTGTCCTCAAAACTTGACAAGAGTGGCAAGCTCACCAAAGAAGAATGCCATCATCATTTCGAGAACAACCTCTGCCTCTTCTGTGGGTGCTCTGGGCATGTGGCCAAAGAGTGTCCTAAGTCCTCCTCCCAAGCCAAAGCTAGGGCAGCCCAGGCTGAGGATGCCATGGATTCTGTGGTGGATTCAGATGAGGAAAAAACTGGATAGTGACCCTCCAGGCCCTGTACAACCAGTTGGTCACACTGACCCTCCTGTCATATCCCGGATCTTCCGCCTCCCTCCGCTCTATCCATACACGACTCCTATGACCTCCACCAGCCCTCCAATCTCTCTCTGCTGCCTCTGGTCGATGCCAATGACCCTAGGACTGCCTCCTCCTCTCTCCTGCTCTGCCACCCACCTGCATCCGCAGCACCTCCAGACCTCTACCACCATACCACCACCTCCTCAGACCCCTTTGTCAGGGCAACCACACCTGACCATACAACCCCAGAACCACCTTCCCTGACCTCCCCCCACTTCCCTCATCCTCCCATCTTCACACACCTTTCACAACTACAGCCCGCACGCGAACCCGCAGGAAAAATCACGTGGGTCAAGGCGAGCAACTCACCTTAACCCATGTGACACCTTTTCCACATCGCGGGAACATGCTCGGCTCCTACCCTTAGTCACGTTACAAACTGTATAGTACATTTCCCTTTTATAGTAGCCAAGCGGGGAATAGGGAAACTTACCCTTCTTCTCAACTCAATCCCTGCTTAGGCAAGTTGTAGCTACCTTCCATAATACATGACAACTCAATCCCTGCTTAGTGAATTTGAGGAGCTTGGGGTAGGATCCAGCACTTGGCTGCCTGGGACACCGCAAGTGTCCAGTTCTGAGGTAGGGCCGCCCCCGGACAGAGGCTGGGCCCTGACACCCTTGTTCGAAGGAGATGGGCTTGCTTGTTGTTGATGAATCCCAACTTGTCATTCCATCCTCCTTCCTACCTCCGGTCTCCACACCTCCGGTACCTTCTCATTCCTATCTTACCTCCGGTCCTGATAATCTTATTATTTTATCATTTGATATTTTCTACAACCCCAATCTTCCAGACTACAACTTCCGGGCTCCGGACCTTTCCGGATGTCTTTCTCTGTAGTTCCCTGCTTGTTCATAGACGCTTTCAGACCTTGCCATTCAGTTGGCTTTTATTTCTCTCACTCCACAAAACCTCAGACATAATTCAGGCTTTTTGCCTATTCCTATTTGTCTTGTGGACTTTTTTCTATTTACTTCCCCTTCCCCTTGGTAAGCTTTGTTTACCTTCGGATCCAATTGTTTCCGCTATATCTACGTGCGTACCCCTCTAGTAAATAGTTCCCCCAGTTATAATATAAACAGTCTTCAGCCCTCCAAAACCTCGTCGAGGACGTCTATCGCATCCCACTTGTCTGCTGTTCCTAAGAACTGAGTAACAGGCGCTCCCAGAGATGCCTTGGTATAACACCCAACAAATCATGTGATGAACGATTGACCCTCACTAACACCTCCTCCGTTAAGTAGTGAGGGGGGGGCCTCCGGCCCCCTTCTGCTGGTGGCCTCGGTTCCTCCATTGCCAGCTCCCCTGACAAATGGGGACAACGAGAACGTACCGGGCGCAGCACTCCATTCCGAGTCGCTGAAGCCGAGTCCCTTCAACACCCTGTCACCCTCGGAGCTCTGCCCTACCTCCAGTCTGTCTCCAACCCACCATCGGATGACCCGGAACACCAAGCTCCACCTGACAGCATCACCTGGATAGCGATCAACCTATCCTCCAAGGAAAGGTGTTCGTGACACTCCTCTTACATCTAGAGTCCTGTGCTTGAACGTGTCTGGACTATCCGCTCCTCATTCTCTTTCTGTTCCGATCTCTTTTTCTCCTTGTTCTGATGATGGTCAATTTCCCATTTCAAGGGAGTGTGCTCCCAGCTCTGATCTGTTTCCTGCTTCAAGGGAGAATGCTCCCGGCTCTGCTCTGTTTTCTTCTTCTGGGGGGTCTGAACACCGTAAAAATATGTCTTTTCCTTCTTCTCTTCCATTTGGAAAATTCTCTGTTCTCATTGACTCAGTGTCATATCCATCCATGGCCATCATCTTCCACTACCTCCGACCCTTCCGGATTACCTCCGCTCCTTCTTCACTAACCTCGGAGCCCCCATATTCCACAATCACCTCCAACTCCCTCGATGGTCACCACCCCCTCTTTTCAATATATTACCTATGCCTCCCTAAGTACAGAGTGTCACATCCATACCAGCTCCACCTCACCTCCACTCCACTCTGCCACTGTTCCGGTCCACCTCCGGTTTGTCCTCCCCCCACACCTCTGCTGTACCCTCCGGTTCACCTCTGCCTCCATTCTCTGGTACCTTCTCCGGTGATCCTCATCCTACACGTTTATTAATATTTCTATCTACCCAATATTACTATGGACCTCCTAGGACCTCTGCTCACTCTGCAAAGGTTTTCCCACTGCTCATAGCTGTCGCTAATTCCACCCTTCACCTACCCACTCCACAATGCCCGATAAGGTGATTCTCTCACAAGCTCGCTGACCTGGCAAGTGGGTAAGTCCCCCTTGGGTTTTCCCCTTTGTTCCCATTTGTCCTCTATTATGTATATAAGTCCTGTACTGTAGTTGATGGCACCTCAGTGCAAAGAATCGACAACTAGACTCCCCAGTGTTTGTGCCCTCTCGTTCTGAAGTTAAGGACCAGACTCCTAAAGCATTACCGAATGTAGGCACAGCGCTCCTCTCCAAGTCACTGAGGCCACAGTCCCTCCACTCATTCTCTACCTCTGGCCTCCTTCTAGGGAAAGGTCCAGGGTGTCATATCTGTACTTGCCTGATCCCAAACCGACTCCCGGACCCCATCTTCACCACCTCCGGAGTCCTACCCTACCGCTGTCCGTTCCGATATTCACCTTCGGACCTGACACCACTCCTCCCCTCACCCCTCATGCCACCTCCACCCTTCCATCCTTCTCCTACCTTATCCTCGTCCGCTCCAATACTCACCTCAGACCGAACACTACTCCTCATGCCACCCTCCTCCTCACACTCCTCCTCACACTCCTCTTCCTCCTCATGACACCTCCACCCTTCCGTCACTCTCCTACCCTTCTCCCATCTGCTCCGATACTCACCTTCGGACCTGACAACTTCCTTCTCCTCCACTCCTCTCCCCGTTCCTCTCTCCTCTCTCCTTCCTCTGACCCTCTCCCGCCGACCCTCCGGAAAGTTATGACCTTCCGCCGCTGTCCCGTACCCTGTACTTGGACACCGCTTGTACCTTCGCTCAAGATTCCGTCATAGTTCCAACCTCGGACTTTGACTCCACCTTGGCTTAAGTCCACTGCATTGGTGACCTCATACTATGTAAACACCATTGCCAATATTCCTCAGACTTTGAACCCTGCCTCTGTAACCTCCGTAACCTCTGAGCTCCATGGATCTTACTCAGCACTTTTGCCACTTGTAATGTATCTTTCGCATTTTCCCCTCATCCCTATTTGGACTGCTGCTTCAGCCAGTTAGTCATCATCCCCACTTCACCTCATCCTCCTGCCCCTCTGGGCTTCACCCTCCCTACCTCCTTTCAGATGTACCACAGGTTCTGCCCTATGACCTTTGCTACCACTCCACTTCTGTCATCCCTTTGTTCCTGTTCAGATGCCTTCGTTCCGATATGGACCCCTTTTGTTTCCATTGTTCTTTTGCCCTCTCCATTATATACCGGTGCTTGTACATACTCGTTTTAGGCCCTTAGTCTAAAATTGACCTGAAATGCCCCCTAGAGACTTCCTGCTCACCACCTATGAAATTTAAGGACCAAATGGACAAATAGCAATGGCACAGCACTCTGCTTGAGTTGCTGAGGCCAAGGTCCCTCCTTGCTAAGTCTCTGGTTCCCCTTCCGGAATTGTCTGCCCTCACCCAGTTCTAACACAGGGACACTGCCCTCCTCGTGTGTTCTTGATACGGAGCCCCAAAGGCTTCCGGACAGCTCCGATGTCCGCTAGTGCACTCCCACCCCCGCTGGGCAATTCACTTGCTTGCCCTGCAAGTCTACCTTCAGGCCTATCCCTCCTTTCCGTTTCTGGGTTATCACCTGCCATTCTGCTAACTCCATAACCCGACTCATTGGTAATATTCAGTCAGTTAATGTTTAACTCCATTAGCTCCGCTCTGCTCAGTCCTACCATTCATGGGACCACCTTGCTGTAACTATATATAATTAACTTGTAGATAGGTTACACTCCAGTGATAAAATCGACTAGAGTTGATCCCCCTTTTAGTTCTCATTGCCAGTAAGTAAATTAGGGCATGGACGTGTAACTTGGCACAGCGCTCCTGGTCTGAGTCGCTGAGGCCGAAGCCCTCCGCCACAGAGACAACTCCTTCATCTCGCTTCTGGTCTCTAACACTCAGGATCTTCTGACACCATTGTAGATACATCCTTTGTCAATAAACATCACATCTCCATGTACCCTGATGTACCTCTGCAACTCCGATTATTTGATGGTACCATGAACTCCATGATCACCCAAGCTGTCAATCTGCCCATCCGATTTGCCACTGGTGAGGTTACTCTGGCAACATGTTATGTCACATCATTGGATGGCTCTTGCACTATCATCCTAGGACATGACTGGCTCACCCGACACAATCCGTTGATTGACTGGGTCTCGAGCAGTATAACTTTCCGGACGTCTGTGCAATCCAGTCCAACCACCCTGAGCTCTCCTCCTGTAGTTGTGGACCCAGTCCCAATGCAAGGGAATCCGGCCTCTGACCCACAGTGTGTCAGGGCACACCTGCCTGACCCAGCCCCAGCTGACCTGGTCCCCCGTCACCCACCTGACCTGGTCCCCTGCTACCCACTCCTTCCCTACTTCCTCCTCCCTTTTCTCTTCCTCTCTTTCTTTCTCCTTTCTCTTTTCTTTCTTCCTTACTTATTACATGGACAACTTCCCTTCTATCAGTGTACCATTGGCCCAGCTGCAGTACGACATGCCTGGACCTGCCGGGTGGCCTCCCACACACTGGGCACTCCTGGGATCTCTTGTGGAGATACCCGGATGGACATGGCTGTGTACGTAGATGATGTGGCCTTAACCACATGTATATAAACACAGCCTAAGTGGGAACTGAGAAGCAACCTTCTTCTCACACTTCCCACTTTAGGCCAGTAGCTTACATTCCCCTTGTTAATAATAATAACACACTTCCCACTTTAGCCTAAGTGGCCAGGGACCCTTGTCTGCTTTGGGCCTGTTATTATGCATGCCTGCGTCACACCCTACCAGGCCCTCAGCCCCAGGCGATATACCCAGACGCTCTCAACCCTGGGTCAGTCCCTGACACAGTGTGCATCCGTCCGTCAGGCAATCACCATCAAGATTGTCAGTCCAGCTGTGTTCGCCCAGGCCGCCTGACTCAATGGATCCGTCACTTTCTGCCTGGAAAATCTGTACACTATAGCAGAGTTGTGCTCAACATCCATCCCATCTGACCCTGTCGACCTCTCAACTGTTCCTAAGGCTTATCACGAGTTTGCAGATGTCTTCAGTAAGAGTAAAGCCAATACTCTTGCACTGCACTGTGAACATGACCTGAAGATTGAGTTGGAGGAAGGCACCCATCCTCCCCTTGGCACCCTGTATTCCCTGTCCCAGTCTGAGCTTGAGGTTCTCTGTACATTCCTTGACGAGCATTTGGCCTCCGGTTTCATCCATCCTTCATCTTCAACCCATGCCACACCAGTGCTCTTTGTCTGCAAGAAAGATGGTTCACTACGTCTTTGTGTGGATTTCAGGGGCCTCACAAAGAAAGATAGGTATCTGCTGCTGCATATCTCTGACCTCCTAGACGTTCCTAGCCATGCGATGGTCTACACCAAGCTCGACCTCTGCCATGCATACCATCTGGTGCAGATAGCAGCGGGTGATGAGTGGAAGACTGTGAGGTCTCAGTGGGTAGCTCAGCACACAGAGCCATAAGTGATACAAAGATGTGTATTTTATGGTGTGTGTAAGCAGTTAACGGAAGTTACCGCTTACCCACATTGTAACGGGTCAATCGCCTTGACTCGAGACAGAGAAGAGGGGGAGGGT